CTCCACTCAGTCAGCATTACTGGTGCATAACCAGCTGTGTCATTCCACAGCACAACTGCTATTTCAGGATCTCTACCTATCGCCTTGCTTGTATGAGCTAGCGCAACTCTTCCACACCCACCATCACCATGTAACTGGGAGACCAGACTTCTCACTATATAGCACACATCATAGAATCATAGAAAAGTTAGGTTTGGAAAGGACCTTCAGATCATTAAGTTCCAAACCCCTTGCCATGGGAAGGAGCACCTCACACTAAACCATGTTACCCAAGGCTCTGTCCAACCCAGTCTTGAACACCACCAGGGATGGAGCATTCACAACTTCCTTGGGCAACCATCTGTATTTCCTCGTGGCCACGGGACAATGCCATGAACCTAGCAACAGATGTCCTGATGCTGTGTAAACTTCAGTTGGTAAACCATGGAGCACTGAAGGTTATCAGTGCACCAAAACTCTGCTTCATGTACATTGGAAAAATATCCCATTGATAATGCTCTTGGGAGCCATCTACTGGCAATTAGAAATTAACCATTTGCATATCGACAGAGAAATTTAAGAGCCACTTGTACCTCCACCATTGTAGGGCACCTCCTGAACTCCTGCATCCATAACAAATCTTTCAAGTGATCATCTGCAAACTAGTTATTTAACAATAGATAAGCATTATAAGCCCATTTAATAATTATTCCCAGCACTTCACATGCTTAGTGTGCTAACCTAAACATTATCATCTTCCCTAACATGCTTGGACTCTAAAAGATCAAAGGTATTGCAGAGGTCATGTATTATTCTCATGTTAAATGCAAAGCCCTAGTAAGCACATGTGGGTAAAGTGGCAGAAAAATCCAGGCCACATATCAAATTGAAGCACCATCATTTGAGGGCTCAACTCCATAACTGGAAGCACTAGATAAAGAAGCCAAATTAATTTCCAGGAGCTAGGTGGGAAGAGGGTATCTGGAGGTCACACTGGAACATTGCCACTAGGACATGAACATGAGAAATGCATAGGGGCACTCAGAGGAGAACTGGTCTTCACCTACCACAGCATGGATGTATGAACACAGCCCCTTGAGCTACTGCAGATATGTTGCAGGTGGCAAAATGGGAGACAGCAGATGCTGATTATGCTGCATCGCATGCTTGAATGGTTTAAATTACTTCCCTACCCAGTGTAGGTCCAAAGACAAGGAAAAGCTTCCAGCAGTATTGCTGAAAGAGCTGAGGGGTAATTAGAGGAAAAAAATACATAATCAGAAAAGAGGGTTATGTTCAGAAAAAGGGGTTACCTTTCCAGGAAAGAAAGATTTTCTGGCACAGGGACACACTCACAACACACATCAGTTCCCCATCCTGAGGCCATAACCCTCTTTATACCCACATTACACAGGACAGACCCACCAGCATCCACCAGTCACCCACAGTGCAGGCAATAGCACAGGCAGTATGCTCAGCTCTTCACCCTCAATGCCCAAAATTTCCCATGGGAAAGGAAGAACACATGCTTCAAATGGGAGTCCTGGCGCCCACTGACTCATGCAAGTAGATAACCAGAGGATTAAGAAAGAAGTCTGGAGCAGTCTCCCAGGACACAAAGCACAGCCAGACGCAAGCTACTTCAGAAATAGCAATGTCTACCAGGAAGGTGTCAAACCTAGTGTCTGGGGACTCACACAAAGTATCAGGAAACCAGTAAAAAGGAAGTGATTCATATTTATCCAACTACATTTTGCACAGTGAAAGGTTTCCAGGGCATTCTGAGAGCCTAGTAGACACAGCAGAAGTAGGTACCAAAGAAGAGAAAAACCTCAACACACGTTTATCCTAGCTCTAGAGGATATTATACTGTAAATGCATAAACCAAAGAATGGAGGTAAGACCCATGAAGTAATGTCATTGCACTTCAGATGTGCAGTGTTTTATTAGACAGAAAGACATGAAGTTTGGCAGGGGGGTTGGAACTAGATGATCTTAAGGTCCTTTCCAACCCTAACTATTCTATGATTCTATATGTACATGGATTAAGAGGTCTCACTTGTCATACCATCTGCTAGTTATAAAGAAGATGGTAGCATAAATATCTGTATCCTATTGTGTGTTTCATGCTTGGTTTTAGATTTAAAGCTATATAATTTTAAAATTTAAAGTAGACCCCAAAAGGCTCTGTTCATATATCGTCTCTACATCAGTGCTCAGGTTTCAGTCAGCCATCATTAAAGCACCAACTCTCTATTAAGACCTAAAATGCTGCCAATTTTCTGTGTCCTTGGTCAAGGTCCAGTTAGTTTTTTGGTGTGAAGTGGTACTGTTTCTCAGCCCAGTAGTAGTAATGCTCCACATGTTGGAGGGTTTTTTCCCTCCTCTCTCTTCATGTCCTGTTCCATGCCAGCATATCTTAGTCAGGCTGTCTGGCATACTTCTCCAGCCTTTTTAATGGTTTAAAGAAAACGTATTTTATTAAATGAAAGCCTTTTGAACAGAATCTATTATGAAGGAGAGAAAAATATTTTTTTTTCTTCGTCTGAGTGGCAGTTTTGTTGGGCGCTAAATTCATAATTTAAGGTGTCCAACGCTGCTAAATTTAGAAAGTCAAGTAATAGCAGTCCTACATGGGCCAAAGGATGACCTAAGGATGAGGGAAGCAATATATCTATTTAGCAATTGAAAGAGTTGGGAACATTCCCACAGTGAGAACATGCTTAACAAATTTCTCTGCGCGCGGGACACTTGGATGCATGGAATATTTCAGCTACAGCAGCAATCCCGCAGCGTTCTGTACTGAAAGCAGAGGTCAGCCTTAAGGGAATTCTATTAGACATACAGTCAGACAAGGCAGGAACCTCGGGGAATAGCTCGTTGAACGAATACAAAAACATCAGCAGCATGCATGTTATTGCTTCTAAAATGCCACATCTACCCCTCCCTCTTCTCTCTACCTGTCTTTTCATAAATCCATAATTTCGTACCACACTATTTTAAAACCTCAACAATTTCTTCCTGTGCAAACATGATTCCACATTCAGTAAACATGGAGCATATGGGACAATCATTCTCAAAACAAAACACTGTGGGCTCAGCCAGACTTTTAAGGTACAGGTCTGCATTCAAGACTCTATTGCCTATCCCTGTCACATAGGGAACTGTCAGGAGAAGGGAACTCCACCTCAAATATTCTCAAATGATGTGGAAATCTCCCTCCTCATCCTCTGGCTAGTTATGGTGGCCCATGGGTCCTTCTCTTATCTATTCTTATTGCCTGTGTGGCTTGAGGAAGGCTGAGAAGACTATCACTCTGTTTTATTACTGTGTTAGGAGTCAAGGAAAGGAGAATGCCACACACTCATCAAGCACTCAGGCACATGCTAACCTCTATGTAAGCATCAGAGAAGCAAGAGATAGTTTAGAAACCATTTTCCACTGTAACTTAGTTTAAATCACTTTGCTATTGCAGCCAAGGACCAGAAAGAAGAGTCATTACTTATAACTGGAGATGACTCCAAGCTACAGACATCCAGACTCAAACTTCTCTAAAACTCCCTCTGGATCCAAGACTAGGTCCTCAGCCAAACCATGACACCCAAGGCTTCGTCCAACCTGGCCTTGAACACTGCCAGCGATGGAGCATAATGAAGCAATGAAACTTTTGAGTATGTCACAACAGGTTTCAGAAGATGAAGAAAGGTGGACTGGAAGCCAGGTAGAATTTGTGGTATGCCTCCCCCCCCCCGGAGCTTTTATTTATCCCTCTGCCTTTTTCCAGCTGCATTACTGTTAACTGAAAGATAATTAAACATCAGCACGCTGGCAGGGTGTGCGCCTGTCTCTCAGAGCAGCCACATGATATTACTCACCCTTTGTTCTCACTTCCCCCACAATTATGTTCCTCTTAGTACATCTGTGTATTATCCTAGGTTGCAGAGCCACATTTGTACTTCAACTCTGATCGCTGATCTGGCTCTCTGCACAGATAACTGGACATCAGCACTGAATCCTGACGATTTCCAAAATAGAGATCCACATAAGGTGTATTTGAGGTGCTAACCTGGGTGATAAAATATGCTTTAGGTTCAGAGAGAGAGTGCTGTTCCTCTAGCAGGTGATTTGATGCTGAAGCCTGACTCACTGCCTCTCACCACAACCCATAGAGACAGACCACCCTCCAAGCATGATCACCCATCTTGGATGACTCCCTTCCCTGCACTGGCAGCAAGTGATTCATCTGCTGAGCTCTGAACAGATCAGCTCAGGACTTGAGATGGGAAATGGTGTGTGGGGCCTGGCTGTTTTGGTACAACAACTGTGGCTTTTAAAATCTCACAAATGCAACCCTGCTGCACCTTTCTGCAGAGCCCAGCAAAAGCTGTAAGCCTCCACCCTGAAGACATGCGCAAGGCCAGCTCAGCTCCAGAGAGAAGGGAGAGAGAGAGAGAGAGAGCCAGACTCTGGCCAAGTCCAGACTGGAGCATATTCTGGGTTTTTTTCCATTCTCAGCTGAATGGCAACGTATCTGAAAAAGCAGCTTGAACCCAGTCGCTGTTCTGGGATGCAGGGAGCACCACACTCACACACCTCACTTTAGTTCCCCTCCCAGTGAAAGCTCTAATATTATGAAATCTAACCACAATTACTCTTTTATAAATAGTGCAGTGTCAAGATCCTGCTGAGTCCCAAGGCTGAAATTTTTGAAAAAGAACATTTACAACTAGTTTGCTCATTTTGGGCACAACCACAGAGCAGGAATAAGAAGATTTGATTTATAGCAACCAAGGAGTTGATACAGTTAGAATAATTCCAGACTGATGAAGAACCTCAGCTACATATTGCTACTGTTTTGTCCACTCTGTCTTCAAAACTGCTAGTTTCCAGAAATGTAGCTCTCGTAGAGACAGCCTGGGAGGTGGAGGGGGGCAGGGTGTCTTGTTGCTATATATATTCTCAGTGTGATTTAACATACATACACAAACTCAGCTTGGATTTCCAACCAAAACCCAACTCACCTTTTCTTCTTGTGGCCCTGGACAGGGAAGACTAGGAATTTAACAGCAGCTCATTTACTCCATGCTTTCCTTTTTTAAAAAAGAAAAAAAAAAATTGTGTTTTGTTTCATTTAAGTGATAATACATTTGATTTGTTACATTTATTATTACAAAACCAAAGAATAATAATACAATGGCAGAAATTGGAGCCTGGACACTTGCAACCTATGCTTGGCTGTGTACAGATATGCTTGTCTTACCTTGGATGAGCTAGCCTACTGCCTTCCAGCTGAGCTACTTCTAAAACAGGTACCTTAAATATTTGTTTCAGAAGTGTTGGGAATTAAGGTCCCTGAGTGCTTTGAGATCCTGAGAAGAAAGAGTGTAAAGTATTTAATAACTAGGAGCCAGAAACAGAAGGGTAAAATAATTACGAGAGTTGCACAGACATTTGTAAAAGAAGACTAGCAGGAAAAACAAAGCAAAAGCTTGGGCTTAGCAAGCTAAGTACTGCTTGGTGATCTGTACCTCTGAATATCTAAGCCAGCAGTTTCAGTTCCAGGCTGAACACCAGTTTGCCTGCAAACTGCGATGAGGTACAGCTGTTCACTGAGCCAGGAAATCTAAAGGATGATTCTAGCCAGGGATCTTGAGGTTTTGTTAGACACTAAGTGGTGACAGCATCTCTGGATGCTGGAAACATATGGAAACCTGCAGACACGTGACTGCATGGAACAAAAGAAAGATGTGTTTACTTCTGAACTCCCCAAGCCTTCAGACAAAAGGCTGCACAAATGTTGCAGCAAGATATCCTGGACCAAATGCATTCAATTCATTGCAACAGGCAGTAACATTTTAAGTTACTTTCACAGAATGTACCTAATTATGTCATCACAAACTATAAAGGCTGTAAGAACACATGCTCGAGCCAATATCTTGACATCATGCACACATGCTTAATGTCTTACTAAATCTTACAAGTGCGAGAATAACATCTTTGTTTAACAACAAAAAAGCAATGCTGGGTTTACTTGTCTTAATCACCTTATGTAAAAGATTATTTCTTATAGAACTCCCTACTCACATGAATGAGCGTGTTTATTGCAATGTCATTGAAACAGTGCTACCTTCCACTTGATGTTTATTTTTCCTTTTTCTACTAGAAGATTCTCAATGTGATTCACAGACACTAGACCAGGTATAACCTCTCGTTTTGTTTTTCTAATTAATCATGTAAAAATAGGGCTATGATTAACTGAAATGGTGCAATATCTCCAGAATAGCTACAGTTAGTAACAACTAGCAAACATCAGCTGCTTCTGTGAAGAGTTAGGCAGGCAAACTCCTTAGCAGTTAACAATCTGAATATTAGGAAACGTTTGTGGAAATCCAGTTTGGGACTTCAAATTGTACATATCTGCATCGAAATCCTGATTCCAAGCACTACTTTAATCCAGTCAAAGTAACCAACACAGCTCAAATTTTGTACCCTGTCTAGTCATAACAAGCTGCTTGAAAACAATCTACAGAACAAGATAATTTCAAATTATGAATAAATTAATGAAGACCGCACACTATTCAGAGACAATTTAAACACAGAGAAATGAGGCTAAAAGCAAATATAGTACATGTAAAAAATACTTCTGAAGATAATAGTGATGTTAAATATTAACAGAATACTTGAAAAAATATCAGCATGAGAAAATAGTTAATATAAATACAGTGTTTCAATATGCATATTTACCTCCTACACCAGTATCTCCATGTCTTACCAGCTCTCCAGCTCTTAGCCGGAAGCCATTTCCGTGCTTTTTGTATAGCTGGCTTGTAGACAAACTCCAAATAATCAGTCTTGGGTTAAATGCTAATGTCTGCTGAGTATATGCTTCAAGAACAGAGAAAACTTATCAGGACAAATAATTTAGGGCAGGCCCTTAATATTTAAACCCTGCAAATCCATAAAAAAAAAAACATATTTATCAGCATCATGATTAATGGATGAGTGGTTTTCACTTGCCAGTGTAAGAGGTTGGGTCTAAACTCAATAGACAGATGAAGAGATTATACACCACATTTTCTACAGTCTTCTCCATCATATCAGATAAGTTGCTGACCTCACAGAATCTGCTACAAGCAGGGTAAGCGTAATCATCTGAAAGCTCACTCTCTATTTTATAAATAGGAGGTATCAGAGGAAAATCCCCCACTTAGATATGTCCTCAGGAACTAAAAGTCATGAATAAGGCAGTGAGGTGAAGAAATGCATGATACCTTGAGAGCAGTGTTTCAGGGCCACATCTGGAAAACAATCAGAAGAAGAATGTTCAAAAGGAATATTTATGGCACACATGAGCTAAAGTCAAGAACAAAAGGTATACCTTAGTGTATAGAGCCCTCCAAAAAGGCACAAATTTTCAGCCTCAAACCCTTCTCTAGGTCTGCCAAGCTATCATGTAAAACATGCTAGAAAGTGGCATGCCTCCATTGCAGACTTGTGTAATGCAGATAAAGCAAAAAAGTCTTGGCAGACCAGTGAGGCACAGACATGCACAGTGAGACATGCCCCAAGGGCAGCAGCAAAACCAAGATTGTTTCTTCTTGAATCTCCAGCTGTCCAGCCTCCAGGCACTCACCTCTACAACCTTTAGGTACTCCAACAAATGGAAGGTGACAGCTATACTCTTCCTGTTCATTCCCTTTCTTTAACACTGGGAGCACAAGACAAGAGAATCGGGCCAAAGCAGCAGTAACTGTGGTTGAAGAATGCAATTCTATTGGATCTCATGAGGGCAAGGTTACTATCTGTGTAGTTATATATTTTCCAAGCTTCATCTCTGCTTCCTTACATGCTAAATTTGCCTCCATTCTACACTGCCTGATATACATTAAACCCACATAACAGGCAGGGGTTTATCCTTTTTCTCTGCACCTACTTGACGTGGAGTACTCCCTCAGCCCAGCCAATAAGCTTGAAAGAGAAGTCCCCACAGGAATTAGGTTGTCAGATCTCTTAACCACTTCAAGTGATCAGTTCCAAGGACTTTCTGATTAAACACATGCTTCCTCCTGTTCCTTTTTCACTCTCTGGACTAGACATCATGCTAACACAGATATTCTGGACAGCACATTATGCCTCCAGCAGGCTCTCAAGAAAGCTTGACCACAGCAAGTTCCCAGGCTTCCCTGGTCATGCTTAGATGGATCTGCACACTAATGTAAGAAGAATCAATCAGGAATTGCTATTTGTCACCATAAATTTCATAGGACAATTCATAAAAAGAAGGGTTTCGGAAGCCTTTAATTTTGGATTTGAAAGCTTGGACAAAAAAAAAATATATATATATATCTATTCTGAACTGGTAGAACATACCAGAAGATTTAATATATCACAAGATAAAAAAACCACACAGGCATTGTTTTAAGTTGCATACAATTAAATGTTTGCCTGCTTATAATCGCTACTTTTAATCCTTCAAAGACTTAATTCAGTTTTGATATGTCTGTCTTAGTCCCCATCTAATTTAAACAAGATACTTTGAATTGGGGTACACCATAACAACCAAGATTCTAGGTCTCAGAGTTCTAATTCTATCACCAGCAGTATCCTGCAGTAGTGCATGAGGGATCCTCCTTCTGCCTCACTTAGCAATAATCATGGTCAAAGATGTCATAGCTGTGCATATATTTTTTAAGAGCACAGCAGAGAACAGGGAGCACTTGATACCAGTTCATGCACCATGAAATACCATACATACCAGGACCACTATCTGAACTACAGAATGTGGTACCTAGAGAACTCTGATATTGTACACAACACTCAAGAAAACTGGTTAGCAATTTAGTCTCATAAACTACAAGAGAATATATCTGCATAAGTATTCAACCAAGCAGAAAAGTCTATTACTTACTTAATATTTCATTAAACAATTTAATAAATGGTTGTAAAAGCAGAAAATTATCCAATGGACTTAGTATCATGTTCTATAATAAAACAGTTACTGGCCTTTTGGTTTAGGGTAAGTTCACACTGGACAGGAAGACCAGGACAGAGATTCTTGAAACTTAAAGTGACAGTTAGCTCACACTGGACCACACCTGCACTAGACAGGCCAGTTCGTGCAGGAAAAAGGTCTAGGGAGCTGACTCTCACCTGTCTGCATCACCTTACTGGAGGGGTTCTTTTAGGCATCACTTCAATGTGACCTGGATCCAACAAATCAAGCCTGTGGCAGAGCACTTGCAGACACCTCTGGACAAGAGGAAGAAAGAGGTTTTCAGAAAGCTATAGCCTGTGATATCTGAAATGGATGTGAAATTGGGAATGGCACTGGACATTAGCAACAGAGACAAAAGATGATGGATACATTAGAGTCCAACTGTCTCAATTAGGAAACTATTTGCGCCCTTTTATTGGCTAACATCACTCCAACAACTACATGGACAATTAGAAATTGTGCTTTAAATGTGCTCTAGCTAGAATGCTCCTAGCCATGTTCGCATATGAAATAAAATCAACACCTGATTTTCTACCACAGAAGTAGTTCAACTGGAGAGAAGAAAGTGCCTACCTGGGAGGTATCTTTCCGCTGCTACTCCAAGCATCATTCTGCAACCGGGATACTCCCCTTACTTACAGCAATGCAGTTAACTAGGAGCCCTGGGCCCATTAATGAATCTGCACAAAGGAAAAATGTTGCCATTATTTTCTTTTTTTACTAAAATGAGCACCTCCTAGAAAAAAGGCTGAAATTGAAGAAAAACAGCTTTTCATGTGAGCAGCACAACAAAGTCAGTAACTATCCCAGAGAATGCATTTAGTGTCCTGTCCCACAGGGTTTAAAATTCCTGAGACCTGTAAAAGGAGGGAAGTCTACATTCACTTCTCGTGCAGAAGGAGCAGATAAAGATGACAGGAATAAGTAGGTATGCTTACAAAGAGCCACTTTAAAGGAAATATGCTCAGATCTCCGCAGATGTCCCTTTTGGCACTGAAGATATACTATAATGTATAGTAGAACACAATGTAACAAAATAAATAAAAATCTTACCAAAGTTCCCCAAGACTTTGCTGTGAGCAGGGATAGCTAGAGGAATTACAATAAACAGAAGATTTTGTTTTACAGGTTTTTGTCTGACTGTTAGTTAACTGTCATGGACACCTAACCACACATCTCAGTGGAAAAAAGACAAAGAAAGGAGCACAATGTATGCAGCAGCAGTGCGAGTCATCTCCCTGCTCTTGCAGGCAGGTAGAATTCTTGCACATATATTAAACATTGCAATATTCTTCCTTTCTTATTCACAAGAACAGAAATGAAGAGAAAATATGCCAGAACCCATTTTTCTGCTTTATTCAGAAAAAAACCTTGAGTGAAGTCAGAGTTTTAGCAGGAATCACAGCATTTTACTTGCTTAGCACTTTCCAGAGTACTTTCTAACTCAAAGCATCCTTCACCAAATGAAGGATGAAGAAATGCAGCAACTTATACCAAGCGTAATATAGTTGCAGCTTGCACTGATAGTGCCTCTATAATTCATGCTGCTTAAATCATTGGTTATATAGGATCTGACAAGTCAATGAACCTTACTCAGATTTCAGGATCTCATTAATTCTGCCTTTTATAAGTGTTTTTCCTCCTAGTTTGAGGACATTTGGCCCAAGTTCACAGTTCAGGAGCTAGTGGAACCACCTCTCAAAGAACCAGATGTTTGCTTTAACTGATTAAAAGCACAAAACCTGTCTGGCAATCCTATAAAGTGCACATTCTTCTGATACTTCAGTACTTCCACAATGCACCCTAGCTCAAAAGAAGTCATCAGAAACAAACAAAACATGAAGAAATAGAACTGGGAGCCCATCTGTACATATGAAATGATGAAGAACATTGCTTGTTTCTTTTAAGGGCAGCAGGCCATAGCAGGCACAGCCCTACTACCAGCTCTACTTCTAGACTATACAGAGGACTCCAGCATTTCCTTTCCTTAGGTGTGTTCAGTTTTCCACCTGTAAACTAGAAAAGGAATTACAGAAAATTTTCAGTTGCACCAAAGATATAAGAACTGGGCACCACTGACAAAAAGCCCATTTGCTTTAAAATCTGTGCATTCCCTTGTTAAGCTCTTTAGGTCACAGTTACTGACCTTTATTTTATGTGCTGCAATGCTATTGCAAGCAAAGCAACAGTTCTGTATGACACTTACTAACAGGGCTGAACAGAAAACTGCCTGAGGTAACAACACTAGGTGTGTTATTCAGGCATGGGGAATGAGTGACTTTCCAGGGTTTCCCTCAATAATAAGCCTCTGGAGTGCTCATGCACCTGGCTTTGCCAGGGAGGTGTGGTACTGTGGGTGTTTTTCATGCCCAAAAGCCAAGTCATAACTTCAGCCCACAGAAACAAACCTCATGAAAGGTGAGATTTTTCTTTTCCTTGCCACCCTTTGACATGTTTCTGTGAAGATGCCCAATTACTGGAACAACAAGTACAGCCAGGGAGCATCTGCTGTTGCTGTCCAACTAACAAAGGTCTCATGCCAACATACACTTTACTCACATGCATGTCTCCTTAGTAATGCTGGATAATGATTTGCAAATAAATAAATGTACCAAAATCACTTCTTGGTCTTCATGGTGAGTAAGAGTAGAGGAAGACATTGTAGACACATAAACACTGACACACAAAGTCTTACCTGTGACCCACCTATTCTAACATCCTGCCTCTGGCCTGAGCCATGTACCAAGTGTCTTAGAAAAAAGAAAGAAAACCTGTTAGAGGTAATATTTGGAATACACCACCCCTTAGAGGGTTGTTGGGTTGTGTTTTTTTTTTTTTTTTTTTTTTTGTCATGATCCCTGAAAGTTAAACCCTAAAGCTTGAGGGTTTTATATCCACCTGAAATGTTTGTTAGCATTAACAACTATAATTCTAGATATCCTGGTTATTTATACAAAAGCATTCAATCCCTCATTTAATCCTGCTAAATCCTCTGGCCTCAGCAATGCCTTATGGCAACCATATTCACAGTCAAATCACATCCATAGTCAGGGACTTCAAGAGCTTGCAGGCTTGCTGCCATGGAGCTGGTAACACAGCCACTCTGTGGGCCAGAGGAGACTGAGCACTAGCTAGGACTCTTTGCCTACAGGGCGCAATGAAGTATCAGAAGCAATGCAGTTTCACAAAGTCCTGCTGGGAAGCAAGGTGCAAAAAACAAGGCAGAGATTGGCTTCTAGCCCCAATATTAACTCAGAGCTGATTTTGCTGCCTGCCCTGCACATCAGTACATTTCTGTTCCTATTCTTGGCACTTCAGTAGAACCCAAAGCTGTATGACATCTCACAACTGGCACAGATGATCCAGGACTTTTGGGTTCCCAATCCTCTTTAGTTTGCAGCACTGGCAAGCAGCCTGTATTTGAGAAATGGAGCTTCTGCTGAACCAGGAGACTTACAGCCTGAGATCTGAGGCTTTATTTCAAAGTGAAATCAGGCCAAGAGCAAAGTACTTAATTGTCAAGTTACCATGGAAAATGTCCTTTTTTTTAATCCTTTTTTTTTTTTTCTTCTCTTTTTTAAATGGAGCAGGGGTTTTAACATCTTTCCACAATCAAAAGTTTTGCACCTGTGCCAAACATACATTTGGAAATTATACAGTCATTTCTGTAGTCAGTACAGGACAGTGAAAGGTGCACACAGCTTACCCCAAGAAATGCAGCTACTGACAGATCTTTGTACATGGATTTTGGGAGGCTTTCTATCAAAATAAAGGTCAAAATTGGAAACCAGGGACAACAGATGCTATGTGACGTAACACACACAAAGGAAAAGGTTTATCCTCATTGTGAGTTGTTGTTACTACTGTTTCAGAGGCAATTAAAAGCGGCAAGTTGACTTTGATGTGCTAGTTTAAAACTTGCTGCAGAGTCTGATGCACTGTACAGAGACATCTCTGCTGAAGAAAGTCAGAATTGTTTTGCATTTGAATCACCCCTCTCTCCAGACATGCTACTACGGAACTCTTTAACCACATGCCAGTCCCATTTATAAAAAGATTCACTACCTGGACAGCCTGTGAAGGGGTCTATATTCTGTCAGCATGCCACCTGCACTAGTGTTATAAAAAAAATAAACCAAGCATAGATCAACATTATTGATGACAGCCTAGGGACCATCAAGCCATGGCATGCTTCCATAGTCTCTACTCTGAATCTGCAGAAGCTGACTATTAAAAATAGACCATGAACAAATTTGGCCTGTAGACTACTCTCCCAATGTAGTTTTTACAAAAATAAATATAAAAAAATCATACCTGCCTTTATCAGGAAGGATGAAAAATGCTGTATAAATGGAAGAGAGAAACAAAAGTAACACTTTTGCCAAATAATTTGTGGCATGACACATTTAGAAAGTTGCCAGTGTAATATCTGAGCTGAATCTGCTAGACTGAATTGAGACACCACAGGCTATGTGAGCTTGAGTATTTCTAATGGCTTTGGTGCTCCTTATGGTCTCAGAGAAAGCTGAAATTTGACAAACCTGAATTAAAAGAAAGAGTAATGTTTAAAAAAAGAAATAAAGATCACTCAAGATTATTTTTGAATGTTTTGTGACGTTTAGGCTTATTTCAAGATACCATAATAGAACAGGGCAAGAAAACTCCCGAGCTTTGAATACTTTGATTTGGCAGTGCTAGACAATTCCACTGGCTTTCAGTCCATTATGGGATTTAGATCAAAACCTACTTCCTTGTTTTAAAAACCCTTCACAGGCTTACTTTTGCCAGCCTGTGAACTGCTGCCCCTGTATTCGAACTGGCTTTCCATCTTTTCACATTCTTGCCTCTAGCAGCGGAAAAACTCTCTCCCTCAACTCCCTACACCTGCTTTGTGATTCTTTGTGCTACCCATACAAACAGAACCTCCATAACAGCAACAAAAAAGCAAACTCCTATGCCTACAAAATCCCTTCTCTCCACCTTATTTTCTCCTTGATTTCTCTCTATTTCTACTACTGCTTACTGCCTTGGTAGCTCTGCTGATGTCATGACTGTAAAAGACAGGAAAGAATGCTCCACTTCCACACCATTTTATTTCTGACCTTTCAACAGCCCATTCCCTGATGCCTTTCACCTTTTTGAGGTGTGCCTTTCTGGTCTTTCACTGTAAAATCATCTCCAGCTTGTGCCAAGAGTCAGGTGTTTTGTCCTTCAGACCACACTCCTCAGAATAATATCTTCAGCAATGAGGGAAGAAACCTTTGATTTGATCACCTTATGGCTCTTATATGACCTTTCACACATGGACCAATTCAGTGTAAGTATAATAAAATAGAAATATTCAATAGATATAACTATTTGGGTTATTTTGCTGCACAGAAGCACATATTCAGTAAATATGAATTAACACAAGCCTCAACAAGATCCTCCACGTCTAACTCCTCAGGTAGAAAGCAACAACATGTACACTGCTGAATAAAGCTCTGCCCTCAGTTCTGTCTATTCAAACTTCTTTTCTTCATCCCAAAGTCATGACAATTACACTGTACAGAGAAAGAAGAAATTAGACTTTAGAAAACAGGGGCCCTGCCAACAAACAAAGACCACCAGTAAAGTAGCAGTCAGTACCAGAGCAAGAAAGGGTAGGTGGCATTTTGCTCTGTGGTGAAAGTGTAGCTAA